GTCGAAGGAGAGCGATCATCAGTTGTGGGAGAGAGAATATCCTACCCTCAAACCATTGAAGTATGTAGCGGGACCATAGCTGTAATGTGCTGGCTGCCATTGGGCGCCGAGAGGACGATAGGGACGGGACACATGCGAGAGAAGAGACCGTCCTCAAGCATATGGCATGTTCAGAATAAACACGCAAAAGACAAGGGTGAATTTAAGTGAACCAAAGTTACCAAGTAAGGGAAACCTGACGGATCTTTGTTGAACTAACACCCATAATCCTACTTTTCGACAGGTCCTAGTCCCTTTGGGGTGGGAGAAGTAATGAATAGTGTACTGCTAGCTAAAACGTGTGTCTCCTACTCCTTCTCTAACTCCCTTGACCACATCCTCTCACGTCCATATTTCACACAATAAAAACCACACTCCGAAAGATTACACCAGCATGGGTGTCCTTTGCAATGACTAGGATAGACACATAAGACCTATCATAGGTACTGCCAGTGTCGCCAGACAAGAAAGGGCCCTTTTGTTTTCATAACTTTATAAAATCTTTATACCTACCATTTGAGTTCACTAAGGAAAGATAAGAAAAATGATTTGTGAAGCCTCCTGCCAGACTAACCTGGGCCTGATTTTGCAGACAATTTAAGAGTTCAATGAAGGATCGAAGACTTACCTTTTGGTCATCTTAACTGAAACATTCGCAACTATTCAGTAGAGAAACATAGAAGCTTGCTGCATAGTCTATCCACTGCGATTTTAACTAAGGGACTTTATAACGAGGATCACGGAAAGGAATGTTACTATCACACCGTTTCCTGTTGTTTTATCGTTCGTTCTTCTTGGTTCTTGGTTTTGTATTCACCGGGCTCAGACAGTGTTAGGTACCCATACTCTTGCCCTCTGCCAACAACAATGTCATATCAGCATTTCAATGCATCTGTTTACGAGAATCCCCTTTCTTTTTACAGCTCCTACAACAAGCAAAAATATAGGTTAACAGCGCCTTTTACAGTATCCTCACACATCCTTAGAAAGGTAGGGCAAAGGCCACATTCTGATCAGAAAGTCGGTATGTGTTATCAGTGTCGATGCACTTCATGGCAGCAGCACTCTGAAACCCACAGTGTCTGGTACATACCACTATAATGGTCAAAATGGACCGCTAGCACGTTAACTGGGCTAGTATACAATAACACTGCGACATACCCCTCCTGCACTCTAGTCCTAGACTCGCTGTACATAGTTCTCCACCTTCTTCTGGTGAACTTAATACAAATAACAAATGACAATAAAGGGAAATCAATACTACGCACATACGCTGCTCCGAGGCTTATGACAATAGCATGACTCTCACACATCCTACATCCATCTCTAGCTTATTGTTGGATCCATATTCTACAGCTACAACAATTTTAGGCATGCAGTTAATAGGAATCCATTTTATAAGACACAAGGTGCTTTCACACCACACCTGACCGAGCACACTCATATAGCACACCAACAGGAAAAACACCAGGATGATAATACCTAAAATAACACAAACCAAGTTGCAGTGGCACAATAATCCAAGTATCAAACCTACACCTAACAATTAACATTTCTTTGTTATTATATATACAAACTAAGAGTACCGTCTCACTCTCCTGCTCATTGTTACATTATCACTATATGTGATTCTTGTCCCAATAAATGACTTACTCGGTTAAATGTCTTATGGTGTCTTACCTCATCTTGAGGTTTCCTCAGACAACTCAAAATACAAGATGCGATTCAGCGCGACAAGTTTTGGTGCGACTGTACGAAACAGCACCTACAACTAAGTCTCCCGGGCTCCACCTTCAACTCTCCCACTCCCCTACATTCTTCAAAGCAGCCACAGCCACTAGCTTAACATTCAGAGGGAATCTTACTTACTTTATATTCAGTATCACAAATTGATACAGCCTTGACTTTTATTTTTCAGCATTCTATTGAGGTATTTTTTTTAACCTGTGTTAATTTTGGCGAATAAATGATACAACAAAGGAAAAAAGAAAAACTGAGCGGAGTTTCATAAGGACCAATATGTAGAAAATCACTCCTTCGTTTTGTAGGGAAAGCGCTAGAGGCTCAGTCCATTTAATCAGCTGTCACTCGGAAGTTGAACACCAAAGGAAGACTCCTGCATCCGTCACCAGAACCCATTTGGCTGCCCAGACTCAAGAATTTAACATTTCCATACTAAAGCAGAAGTGTTCATGTAAATTGAAAATCCCTTTATTTTAAACCTCCTAATGCATTTTCACTTCTTCCCCAGTAACTATTGATGAATTTCCAGACCATGTTTTTGTACTGTTCCATTCACCTTGGATGCGCAAATAGGGCCCAGACAGCCCACCCACTCAACCTGACATGCTTACGAGATTTAAGGAAGCTATTTGTTTTCCAGGGTCATGAGTACTTTCCCCTCCATCATGGGACTCCTACGCTACATGGGGATGGGCATGTATGGTGGGTGGAAGTCCCTGGATACCTGTTTTAAAACCCGGACGCAGGAATTTGCCCTTTTTCTCAAAGATGAGAGTTTGCACACACAAATCAACCGACACTTTATTGCTGCAAGAACCAAGATAACTTTATGGAAATGGTAAAACTCAAGAAACTTCAGTGGAACTTCCTGAAACGGCAAATGCAGCCCGCGGCCTGGTGGCCTGACCTGGGGAAGGCACCTGTGGCTGTGGTGCAGTCCAGTTCGCTTCTCCTTGTGTGGCATCATCG